ACTGAGCCACCCAGGCGCCCCTCAAATAAATAAATCTTTAAAAAAAAAAAAAATTACCTCCCAGAGGAGAAAGGGAGTATTTACACTGTTAAAATAGGTAATTGCTGGGCTTCAGCAGATGCATCTGTCATTTATTTGAATTAATGTACTTACACATTTCAGCCTAGCTGCTGTCTCTAGTCTGATGACTTAGGTCATACCATGTACTCACGTGTGACTAAGGATGTGAAATTACCCTGAATGGAATGTCAAATTAGTCTGTGCTTTAGAAGTGTCCCCAAGAACATGTGTTATTCCTTAAGAAAAGAGTAGGGGTGCCCGGCTGGCTCAGTCAGAGTGTGGGACTCTTCATCTCAGGGTCATAAGTTCGAGCCCCACGTTGGTTGTAAAGATTACTTAAAAAAATAAAATCTTTAAAAAAAAGTAAATTTAAGCGAAACTGAAACATAGATATAGTAAAATAAATTTCATTCTCACAAAACCTTGGAAACAGATCATCTGCGTTATCTGAATGACTTTAACTAGACATTTTCTTCTGGGGTAAGTAACTTTTGCTTGGAACCTTCAGCTGCTTTTAGAGTATATATTTCTTATATAACATGCCATGGGGAGACTAATTAGATAACAGATTTTGAGAATGCATACCAACTTTATGGTAGCATTTGGACAACAGTATTTACAAAACCCGTTTCACAAATTGCCAAAGTGAAGACAACAGTTTTTTTTTTTAAAGATTTTTATTTATTTATTTATTTGACAGAGAGACAGCGAGAGCAGGAACACAAGCAGGGGGAGTGGGAGAGCGAGAAGCAGGCTTCCCGTGGAGCAGGGAGCCCGGTGCCGGGCTCGATCCCAGGACCCTGGAATCATGACGCGAGCCGAAGGCAGACGCTTAACGACTGAGCCACCCAGGCGCCCTGACAACAGTTTTTTTCTTAGAGGAATTTTGAGTAGGTTTTCTTGGCTTTTAAACTCGATAACCATAGCCCTGGATAGGAATATCCCTTATATCGCTGTCCATTATTAGGGTTGGGATCTGAACTTTTTGAATTTTTGGTCAGTAGGAATTGGATGCACATTCACTCTTGAAGGTATAAGAAAAGTTTACAATTGTTGGTATGATGAGTTTCAGTTACTGTATGTTATCTGGTCTTTTAAATCTCCTAAAGCTTTTTTAGAGCTAGAGTTAGTGCTGCAGATATCCAGAATGAAGGATCAATCCCATGAGGAAAATTGAATTTGGCAGTGCTTTTCATTCATCCCAAGTGCAGTTTTCCCAGCAGGGTTCTGTATGTGTTTAAATCACTTTGGTAATGGAAACATCTAGACCTTGGAGCTGTATGCTGGAGGTCCACACTAGTGGAACAGGACAGGCTGGCCCTCTCTGTTACATTTCCTTCCCTCTTCGTTCAGCAGTTTTGTGAAAATTCCACCTGTACAGTTCACCTGGCTACCTTTGCATTCGCATTCTTGTTAAGTCTAAAGACAACTACTGGATTTGGGGGTAATACTTGATTTCTCATCGGGAGAAGCTCTATTTTATTTTATTT